GAATTCGTGAATTTGTCAATTCTAGTCCATCATACTTAATCTGTCAACACCTCAGGCTGTCAATATATCAATGGAGATGTGAGAATAACAAGACCCTGTAGTTAAGAAATGCTTGAATACACAAGTGTTCTATAAGTAAGTAATATTTGTTTCAGAACAAATTAATTTAACTTTAAATTTGCTAATTTTTGCAAGATTTGAAACTGAGAATTAACTTCTGTTTACAAATATTTCAAAATGGCAATTTCGATTGTTTTTTTTTTTTTCTAAAAAAAAAAATAAAATAAAATGAACTAAAAATTATTCTAACTTCTATTTGAAATACACCCCAGTATTTTGCTTTCTGGAATTAGAAAATTTAATCCTTTAGTTTTCAATTAAAGCTAAAATGAAAACTTCAAGAAAGATTTTTTATTTATGAAAATTCATTAAAGCCTTAGTGATACTGAATTATTGGAGGTACCTAGATTTATGTTCATAAATTATTAAAAAAAAAAACAATTCTTCTAAAAATTCAGTGTCTTCAAAAATTTAAATGCAATGTCAGTCATTATCTTTTTATTCTTTTATCGTTCTCGCTCTTTAATGTTTTGTTTTTTCTTTCTTCAGTCTTTCACACCCAGTAACCCCTTGCATCTTAGTAGCTATTTTTTTTTTTAAATTACCATTTTTCTAGGCCTATGTTTTTGTCAATTTTGGTCCAACATCATCATCCTACCATTTTCATATCTATTTTTATATTTTACACATCACTCACTTTGGCTGGCATATAAAGAGTCATACACAGCACAAATATGCTACATTAGTAATACAATTCCTTTAATCAGTAGAAAAATTTTACAAGCTCCTCTATATATTTTTGTTTTCAGATTCATTTTTAAATACATCTTTTCATTATATTTATCACCCAGTCAGCCATAGATTCACCGACTACACCTTTGCAGGAGAGGGGGTAAGATCTCTTCCAATGAGGCCACCTATTTGCCATGGGAAGCAACCCATGATACTTGAATACATTTTGGTGGCTAAGTAGGCCATGGCTTGGGTGAACAGTCATGTGAACTTCAACACTCCATTTTGGAACTTACTTGTGCTAGACAGGCAATCTGATCATTTGGCTTTGATAATTGTGTACACACCAAAAAAAATAAAAATACCACTACTATATCCTAAAGAACACATATCACCCAAATTAACAAATAAAAATACACAAAATCCAACGTACATATAGTATAGCGAAGAAAACGATGACTTACCTCATCATACCAAGCGACATCTCGTGTATCCTACAACGGAAAAGAAAATTACTTACCAAAAAAAAAGGGGGCACGTATTCCACATGACATGCTGAAGAGGGAATATTTAGATTAAAAACAAGTCTGTTGCAGGAGTCTCCATAAAAGTATTTTGTTATGCAAAATACTTGGCGTCCTCTCCCAGTTGTCAATGAATGAAAAAACTGCTCGGCCAATAAAAGTAGTTGCTGTTCTTGAATCGGGAAGAATAACTGATGTATTTTGGCTACCACGTTTGTAGCGAGTGAGTTATTTTTCTGACTGGTTACACACATTGGGATTTGTGAGATAGCACCTGCAAATCGAGTTTTCTGAATTTCTTTCTGCCCCCGTTATTCGAGTCTGAACTTAGTGATTTGTTCTCTGTGTTGTGGAATTAATCTGTGACAAACATTTCCTTTGCTTTCAGAACGCTTACAATACAAACTTAAATATTAGGTGGAGGCAAGGGTCAATCAATCGGTGAGCAAAAGAAGTTCCACCTATCTGGGGAGGGGAGCAAAAGAACATACAGATGAATGTAACTACTCACCGAGAAGAGTATACCATCCCTGTATCTTTGAGGTGATTGGACGAATATGTTTCTCCCCTCCCAGACATCTCACATATTCAAGCTCCAGGGTAAGTGGGAGGAGCAATATGGCAAGAAAAAACCCTATTGTATAAAAAAAAGCAAAAGACTCCACATTGAATCCAGTTTAAAAGTGAGCCTGAATACGCAGAAAAATTCTTGAAATGAAAAACTTTTAATAAAGTCAAGACCTACACCCACAAATCTTTAAACACATCTAGATGAATGATTAGAAACCCCTATCTTGCTCCATAGAGGAAATGAAAACAAATCTACGAAACCAAAATGTAATAGACATAAAAAGAATAACTATTAAAAAGATGGATAGAACATAGACAAACACTTACATTCTTACTTTCAATACCTCAAAACTACCCTCCAAAATAAAAGTTGGATATACTATTGCAATGTTAGATACATACATTCCTCAACCACTCTGGTGTCTCAACTGTTAAAGGTTTAGGCATTATATTATAATACCACCACAAACAAGGCGATATGCCACTGGGACATAGAGGGTTAGTGAAAGAGAATGAGGAAGGATAAAGGACAATAAAAGAACAGGGTTCAGAAGACAAGATGGCGACTAATTTCCATTTAAATTTTTGAAGGTTGTAGATGGCAGGGAAGCAAGAAATTGGGAGGGCGTTTCACAGGTGAGAAGTGCAAGAAAAGAAACTGTTAGAATAGAAGAGGCTGGTTGCATCTAGCTAGTTCAACAGTAAAACAGTAGCATGCTTAAATCCATGCAGTTGGAAAAAGGAAAAAAAGCTCATCAGAATAGTTGCCATAAAAGCATTTGTAGAAATAACAAAGGAGAAGCCACGTTGTCTTGGTAAGAAAGTGACTGAAGTTGAGATTCCAGATCAGTAACAATTACATTAGACACTTGTTTGAACTTTGTTAATCTCAAGACATACAGCAAGAGCATCAGATCAAATATGGCAGCAGTATTCAATACATGGTTGAATGATGGATTTATAAATGTGCAAGATGAATTCTGACCAGAAAGATTTTCTGGTATGACACAATAAATCAACTTTCCTAGCAGTAGACTATAGTGAACTACTGCAGAGGGCAAAGAGGCCCCAGGTTGCAAGTCAATGTAACACGTGGAAATGGCTTACCTCCAGGACAATGGATTCAGACAAGTCTCGCATGTAAACTTTCCTAAAAAGGTTAAAAAAAAAAAAAGTGGTTTTGCCGGTCACACATTTAAAACATCTCAGAGTTGGATAGACTTTCACAAGAGTTTACTTTTACATATATAAATTTTGGCTGTCAATGAAGATATTAAAAAAAAAAGTGCATAATGAGATGACAGAATGGTGACTGTTGTAGTGAACAAGAGACTTGTTACAGTTAGTGTCAGAGAGTGACTATATTGAATCGGTTGCTTTTTCATGTCTGGAAAACATGAGCCCAATAAGGTGCAAAATATTGCTGTGGAGAAAATAGAAATGCTTTAACTCACAAACGCCCTCGCGTCTGCCTGGCCTGTGGGTTGAGAAAGAAAAGATCCAAGATGGCGTCCGTGACTTTTAATATTCACGGTCTCGTGCAGTCACGCAAAGTCGCGTTATACACATGCTAATGAGATGTGTCTGGGCTCCATAAAAGCAGGTTGCTTGGAGAAATTGGCAGAACGGCATTACACCCGTGTTTGGTGTACACGGCTTTGCGTTGCAGCGTGTCAGACTTTTTCAGACGGAAAGAGTTGCGTCCCTTACACTGTTGAAGTCGACTCATTTGCTACAGTTGCTCTCCTGGAGTTTAACATCAACCATACTAATGGCATGCAGAAAAGCTTCTCTATTGTAATTAATGAAAAATTTTGCTTTGGAAGCATTAAAATTTGCAAGCTATTTCTTGCTTCAGTTAACCAATGATAAGAGGTCCTTTCAGGAGCAGTTGCCAGGTTTACTTTATTGAATCTGTTGAAATTGCTAAGAAGACAGGAGTAAATAGTTGTCATCAACATAAATAATTAGGAAGGGAAGATCATTAAATGGGAAACAGCATAGTTCCAAGGATAGAACCCTGGGGTGGGGGATACCTGCATTAATATGAAATGATTTAGAAGTGTACAACACTACCTTCCTTTCACGATTTGTTAGGAATGATTGGATTGAGTCTCTTATTTGTCCTGTGGCACTATAGCCCTTGAGCTTGGGGAGATGGCCACCTCTGTTGAATGCCTTTTGAGATATTCAAAACCACAGTATGAGCATTACCATTTTTATCTAAAAGCATGATAGACAAATTCAGTGATGGCCATTAACACATTGGAAGTCATCTTGCTTGTCTGAAAAGGGGCAGTAAAAAATAAAATTCTTAACCAATTTGGTGTTGATTAAAGCCTAAAATATTTTTCCAAAAAGTGGTAAGAGACTAATAGGGCAATAATCTGAGGGTCATAGCATTCCACAGTGTTCTTAAAAACAGGAACTACAGAGGAGGACTTCCAACAAGCTGGAATAAAAGTAGTGAGGCATTTATTGTAAAGTTTGGAGACAACAATAGCAAGTTCAGGAGCATATTTCTTTACGATCACTGAAGGGATTCCATTCTGGATGCTTTGTGGGGATCTAGTTAAAAAATGATAGAAATAAAGGATGAAGAGATTCCATTCTAAGTGTTTGGGGGTGGGGTCTGGCAGCGATACTCCAGATTAGTCGAGAGTGGATTTGGAAGAGAATTTCCAAGCAAAGCACTTTGCTTTATCTGCAGTAGATGTCAGTACTTAAAATTGATTGAAGTGAGGAGGGACTGAGGATTTGCTTTTAAGTATGCTCTTGTAGAGCTGTCAGTAATCTCTAGAACCAAATGTATTTTATTGCTTTAAAGGATACGTTAATCAATTTTCTGAAATAGTTTAAATACCCAAATCATTAAGTTCATCTTGGGATGTTCGAAAAAACTTTGGATAAAATCAGATAGTGTAAGGGTTCTTTTACATACTATCAACTGGCTTGTTATGCCATGCATAATACATAATAGTTGTATCTGTACAAGATACACACTTTTAAATATCATAGGGGTTTATTTTTAAATTAATTTATCATAATTTTGTTAAGGTTATTTTAATTTTTCAACCATTTTTTTTTTTTTTTTTTTTTCCTCTTTTTTTAAAGGTTCGCCAATATGCTGCTGTCCTTCTCCGGAAAAAAATTCAGAAAAAACATCACTATTTTGTATTAGATGAAGTCATACGGAAAAAGTAAGCTATTTTTTTTTTCTTTTTTTTTTTTAATAACTGTTTTATTATCATTGTTTTTATCTTTACTTTTTTTTCCTTTTTTTTAATGCAACATTTTTCTAATTTTGTATTAGATGAAATAATATGAAGTATGCTTTTCTATTATTATTCAGTATTTTTAATTTATGGAAATACTCGGCTATTTCTTCTGATTTCATGAATTAATCATCTACTATTGTTTGCTATATCTCTGTACAATTCTGTCAAGTTAGTACCACAAGTCTTGTAAGAAAATATAATTTGTGAAGAGATATAAAGATTTACTCATTTTAAAATGGGTTAGAATTTAAAAACAAACACTTTCTGACAATGAAGTAATTGTTTGAGACTTTGATATTTTATAAAGGGAACTTCCTCAGAGCAAAAAGAAATGGTGCTTATAGCATGATCCATATGGTATGGGATTGTTAAAATGGTTTCCTTATGTTAAAGATCAGTACATACCCTCTCAATGGGAATAGATTGTTTTTACCACAACTTGGATTATAAGTTTGTATTAATTTGATAATCTATTCCACAAGAATTATTTTTATTATTATAGGAAATACTCTTAGATTTAAGTTTTACATGTTTTAATCCATTTTAAAATTTAATTTAATAATTTTCCATTATTTTCTCTTTCAGTATTAGGGAAAATATTATCCAGTTGTTCCTCCAAGAAACTGAGTAAGTTTTTATATTCTTCTCTTATAATAAAATTGTTTCTGGCTCTACTTAAATGCAGACTTAGAATTTATTAAGGACATGACTAACATCTTGATAAGGCACTGCTATGCTATCTTGGGAAATAGTATAGGTGAACATTATGTATTTAATTAATTTTAAACGTGCGTGCACACACATTTTATCTGACTTATAAGTCGTCAAATGTTAGAGATAGTTACACTATATAGTAGATGACTGGAAAACATTTCAGAAATGTTGCTGTAACATAAAAACCTACGTTTGTAATTTTTATTTCTTAAAAATTTCATCACATGGTCTCTGAATTTTTCAGTGGATGAGCATATTGTTCATTACTGCATGCAGTATGCACCTTATAGACTTCTTGCGATTACAGGAGCAACAATAGTAATATTTAAATGTTCGCATTGTCATGTGAGCAGAGTTGCCTGAACACTAATTTTCTCAAATTACTGAACAGATCTGAAAATAGTGTGCCGTTGGCCAGGAAACTCTCTAGAAGGACTGCTACAAGTAGAATAATTGAAGACTGGGTACAAGCTTCACAAACCTAATTTTTGTTTTCATTAAAAGAAAATTGTTTTAATCATTTTATTCCAAGCAAGGTGATAAAATCACTATGCCACAAGGAGTTACTGTAAGTATCTGAGAAAAACATTAAAGAGGAGACAGATAAAGATTGATGTTGCATTTAAATTTTTGAAGATCAGAGTTGACAGGAAGCCAGAAGAGTTATACAAGCAATAAGTGCAAATGAAGAAACTATTATCCTAAAATTTAGTTACATTTAGCAATTTCAACAGTAAAATGAGACCTAGTTGCCAATTTAGTAGTATGCTTAAATTTGTGGTGTTGAGAGGCCAAGAGGAAAATTCACCAGAACAATTATTATTAAAATATATATAGAAAAGTCACGGGGGAAACTACATTATGGTGGTGGGAAATATATATATATATATAATGAATTTATTTTTAATCCAACATTTTTATTACTTCCAACGTATTTGAAATAGATGACCCATTTTTATTAATTGAAGAGTGTGTATTAGATCAGCCTGTGTATCGCTAAAATTTTTCGAATATGCAAGCTAATAGTAGATGTAATACAGTGCTTAATAAATACAAATTGAGTATCTATTTCAAATACAATGTAGTCACTATAATGTTTGAAGTAATGAAATTATAAAAAAAATGCATATGCACAGTGTTCATGAGGGACTTAATTGAACCTTTATTTATATATATATATATATATATATATATATATATATCATATATTCAGCCAAACAAGTTTGATTAAAAGAATATAAGGATGTAAACAAAGGAATGCTAATTACCATGCAAGCACCGCAATGGTTCTCAAGAATGACTGCAATGTTCAAAATTACTCAAATAAAACAGTAACAAAATATGAACTTCAGACTACTTATCTACAACTTCAGGCACAATACTCAACACTTTATTTGAAAATTGGGAAAATACAATAAAAATTAAAAACAACCTTTTGTTGTTTCTTTTTAATCAAACTTACACGCACACACACATCTTTGTACCTATTGGAAAGTGCTCAATATCAGTGATAGAGCTAACATATTCTGTTGTGTGGATATGACTTGTAATCCTGAGTTTCACTTTGCGATCATCAGACAAACTGCTGATCGCAAAATTACTTATGGACCTTTATATTTTCACAATATATTGAACAAACATTTAAATCATAATATTTTGTCTTCATTTAAAGTTATATACACTGCATGCTATTATAAATTTCAGTAACTCTGCAAAATATGCTTGTATATAATGAATTTTTGTCCAACAAATAACTTTCTTTTTCTCCATGTGTTTGCCTACATTATTAACAAATATAATTTGTTAATTAAATTGTTTCTTTGCAGGTAATGTTTTTGGAATTACTGTCATATTTTGTTTTTTTTAAAGCTGCATTATTTTTAAAAACTCTATAAAATGTTTTTAAGAAACAGTAAAGGAATGAAATTAATCTTAAGAATAATTTGTTTAGAAAAAAAAATTATATTTTGCATTGCATTTTGAAGCGTTATCATTCAGGCATTTGTTTTAAATATGTCTTAAACTCACATCTGTTAAATACTACAAATTTTTACACAATGATAAAAGCATAGTTATGGCAAAAGTTGCTGATTTACATTTTTAAAAAAAAAAAGAAAAAAATTCTCTATTTTAAAGTTTGAAATTCTAAATTTGTATCTGTCATTTTGCAGAAAAACTGTGCAAACTTCTGTTGCTCAGATCATTGCAACTGTTGCAAAGCATGAATTGCCAAGTAAAAATTGGCCACAGCTCTTTAACTTTATTCTGGAATATACTCGGAGTTCTGATCCTCACCACAGAGAAGTAAGCTTATGTTTATTATATCAATTTTAAATCCAAATGTTTTTTGTGTTTGTAGACAAAAAATTAGAGTTGTTACTTCCATTATATTCTATTATGTATGCATATACTTGCAAATAAGTAAAGATAATCAATTCTTTGAATGCTCTGAGGAGAAAATATTACTAGTATCTCTCCTGACTCTGGTAATCAAATACTGAATATTTAAAACAAGCCTCTCTTGGTTTGCTTTCATCTTTTATCTCGAAATTGTTGTGATATACTAATATCTACTGGAGGAGGTACAATATTAATACTTGTTAATGGATCGTTTATTATATCATATTTACAAAGCTTTGTATAGTATGTATGTTGAAAGATTGTGCAATTTTCTTTTGAGTGGTGAAAATCTGCTTGCCTTCGAAAATCAGCATCTGAAATCCTGGGTTTTGGCTGAGCTTGAACACTGACTTCCAGCACTAATGGGGAATATGTAACTTTTTTTACTACAAGGCAAGCCAAATTTGGATGTTTTTTTTTTTTTTATGAAATCTATTTCTCGGCTTTGGTATATATTATCAGTGATATTTTTTTCCATGGATCATTAGGGGTTTCAGATCTTACAATCTCATACCCCTTCTCCATAGCAACCCAGTCAATATTGATTAGATATTGACTTGTGTATCAGTCATCAGCTGGAACTCTGTCTAAACATACTGTAACAAAAGAACTCTTTAGGCCTTTATAATCCAATCACAATCAACTTTATATACTATTTGCAATTTAATATTTTGGTTTCTTTCACAGATTGGTATATTTTTGATGAATAAAGTGGCTGCCATGGCAACTGAACAGTTGAAGCCACATCTTCTCTCTGTGTTGGAGCTGCTTTCTGAGGCTCTTTCAGAACAAGAGACCCTAATGGTGCCATATTATGCAATTCTGTGAGTTCTGTTTACTATAATTTTTTATGCTTGTTTTCAACCCCAATTGCCAAAACAAATTATGCAAAAAAAAAACAATTATCAATGTGTATTTATTTACATACTAGCCTACAAGCTTAATTCAGCATAATCTTTCCTTATATGTGCAACTGATATCCATAGTTTTACATTTATTTTGCATGTAATTTTTTTATTTTCTTTTAAAATTGCCATTCTTTAAGATCCTTTCATATGATGCCACTCTTAAAACATTAGGGAACCTGAAGTATGTAATATTTTGGATATGTCACAGTATGTGTGCTAGAAAAAAACAAAAAAACATTAGCAATATACTGTGTCCTGCTTAAGTTTTAATTATGGTTTAATTAGACAACATCAATTGCAACAAAAAGCGAAATTAAAGTTAAACCTTTAATAAAAGTATCGTTTTTAAACTTATTGCTTGGTTTGATATTTAAATTTAACTTTAAATATTTAATTTTCAGTTGTGTGTAATTAGAGTAGTTACTACTTCTGGTTGTTTATGATTCGCCGAGATTGAAAAATGGATGGACACATGTACACTGCACTTTAATATTAGATATAGATAGATTAATTTGAAGAAAAGGTCTTCAGGTGGATTCATAAAAAATAATAATGCTGTAAATAATTCATGAATTTTAATACTTCTATTATTCTATTTATTTGATGCGCATGTTTAAATCTTGAGATTGAAAAATGGATGGATGTACACTGCACTTTCTTATAGATTTCCTGTCTCATCTGTAGTGGGATTGGAGGCAAATCAACTTAAGCTAGTAACTTTATAAGTGATTATTTCCCTTAGTCATTTTAATAATTTAGACAAAATTGAGTGGAGAACCATGGACCACCTGAAACCTTTGCAGCCAAAGCTTTCATACATGAAAACTTTTATTCTCATTATAACCCTTTTACCGCTGCCTACACCTAGTGGTGTAACCACCTTTTAGTGGTTTGGCCCTCGGGATCTTAGCATGACGTTTTAACAATACTAACTCTGAGCTGATCAATGCTGACACTGGTCCAAGATGGTTGTTGGTTGCTGGCTGCTTTGATCCACACCAACTCTGCCCACATTGTGTTCTTGATCTTAGAGTAGTGGAAGATTGAATGTTGTAGTAATCAAAGTGCTGGTTCAAGCTGTGTTGGGAGCTATATTAAAAGAAATATCTTCACAATAAAAAATAAAAACGAAAGATTTGTTGGGTCAATCTTCAGTTGGTTTATATAGTTCTTGGTACAGCAAAAATTAACCCTTCCTCCATCAGTCTTTATAGTGATGCTGGACCTCATATAAAATTAGTGTTCAAAGTTCTTCAGATCTGGTGGCAGCTGATGTTGATTCCAGAGGCACTCTATGCAGGTTTCGCTTTGCAAGTCTTCAAGCTTTCAAAGCTATCTGCTTATATGCACTCTGGCCCAAAACTGTCATGAGGCCGAAAGGTTCTGGGCATTCAATTGATTGATTGAGTCCTCAATTTTTACATTCATCCCAATAAGGGTTTTTTGTTCACTATTTCTGCTTTCTTAATCAACTTTCTAAATTTGGAGACTTATCCACTTTCTTGGGAGTAAGAACAGGGATTGCTTCTCTCTTCAACTTGCTTCACTTTACATTTCGTACCATCACTCCATACAGGTAGTGCTAAATTGTCCCTCTTTCTTCTTTCTTAGCATTCAACTTCAGCCTACTTCCCAGGACAGGAATAACTGTCATTGTGACAAATTTAATTTTTAAAGCATGTGGGCAAAAGGGCATCATTTTATTCTAGTCATTAATTTTGATTCTCTTGATTACTTAAGAAGTGATAAAATTATTTCGCCATTTCTGGACTTATCTCTATCTAGCAAAAATATAAACCAGATCACCTGCTTGTCAATGACAGGATCTGTTTTCATAACTTTGACCCTTAAAAAGGGTTTGTTCTTTGTTTAAATTTCCAAAAGTTCCCAATTCATTTTCGTAAGCAAAAATATCAGCTCCCATCTGTCTCTCTCCTAGTTAATGTATTTTTTTAATTCCTCAAAGAGCTGCCCTGTTGGCTGGGTCTTCAGAATACACTGACTGCACCTCTGTGGAAGGGTAAAACACCCTCCCAACAAGGCCATCTATTAGCTGTGCGTGGTGACCCATGATGCCTGGGGATATGATCCTGAGGATTGAGGGCTTCAAGAGGAGGGATGATTTAACTCCTGAATCCCAACACACCACCTGGGCTAGACAGGTGGTCAGAGAGGGCTGATCCAATCAACCAGCCTGTCATGCTAAGAAGGGATGATTGTCTCAAACGATGCTTAAGAAAAAAATATTAACTTGAGAACTAAGAAGTTAAATAATTATTACTGTGAGTATATTGACTGCATAAACCCAATCTGCCAAGGCAAATGGGCTTCCCCCTGGGCATTTCCCCTGGTAGGGTTCTGTGGTGGGTGGGAAGTACAGTCAGTGAAACATAATTTCATTATATGGATACAGAAAGAAAAATCCAAGCCAAAAGTCTCCACATAGATTCTAATCAAGAGCAGCTGAGGTATTCTTTCCTAGATTCATAATGCTAGAATCTAGAGAAGAGGTCCCACTGACTAAATTATCACCATTCCTGGTACAGAGGGTTATATCCTCTATGGTTAATCCTAAGTCAGTAAAAAACTTAAATAGAACCATCCTGGTAGAAATACAAAGTAAAAAACATGTGAGTATACTGTTAAGGATGAAAAAATTCCATGTCATTAATGTAAAAGCATACACACATGAACACCTTCAGAAGTGTAGTTCATAATGGAGATTTATTGCTTTGTACCAGAGAATGGATTAAAGCAGAGATAAAAAAAGAAAAACCCCCCCAAAAAACAATGTAACTGATATCAAAAGAATAACAATTAAAAAACAAGACCAGATAATAAATACAAACACACACACACACAAAGTTTCAATACTTCAACACAAACATCCACAATTAAAATTGGATATTTAATAACCAAATTAGATAAATATATTCCAAATCCGAGAAGATGTTACAAATGTCAAAGATATGGCCATCTAAAGGAGTATTGTACAAGAAAACGAACATTGTCAAGATGTGGGGAAACAGGACCAAACCATGAAAAAACATATATACCATATATTGCATAACAAATATAGATTTCTTTCACTACCAAATTAAACAATACCTCAATAATATGCACTAAAACTACAATCCAACCAAATAACCCAGCGTACCAAAAAACACATGAACCTCAATATATTCCATTCTATAGATCTATTTTCATAGCATTGCTTAAGAAACCAGGCTCAAACGAATGTGAACCCCATCAACCAATCAGCCTAATAAGCCACATAACAAAACTAATCACCCATATTCTGATGACTAGAGTGTGCAACAGAATGAGGCCAGAGATAGGACAAGAACAATGCGGGTTCGTTAAAGACACCAGAACAAGCAATGTGATATTTATGCTCAGAATGTTATCAGAAAGAGTAATACAAATGTAGGAGGGTTTTGTGGGTAACAAAAAAAGTGCTGAACTGCTATGTGATATCTGTCCTCCTTTATAGCAGTGAATGTTGGGCAGTCTCCTCAAAGATGAAGAGACTTGAGGCAGCAGAGGTGTGGTTCTACAGAAGGATGCTGAGGATACCATGGACCGAACATGTGAGCAACAATGAGGTTTTGGAGAGGATGCAAGCAAAAAAGAACTCTTACTTAACATCAGGAAAAGGTAGCTGAAATTTCTGTGATATGTAATGAGAAAGGAGGGCTTGGAAAATCTGATATCCACAGGGTGGATAAAGGGAAAGAGGGACAAGAAAAAGCAATGTTTGACATACTTAACAGGCTTAAGCGTAAGCGTTAAGATAGCAGAACAGGGTTTGGGAGAAATAACAAAGTCAAAGCTTATTGAGAGACATGGCACATAAAAGAATACTGGTTTTGTGTGATTTTAAATTGTTATAAGGACAAGGATGCAAAATAGGAAAGTATTTTAATTAACTTTTTTAATGTTACTTTTTATAAATGAGAAGTTGATATTTTAGAACTTGTTTGTATTAGGGGTTTGTGTTCTTAGAATAGCATTAAGTTTTGATATAAATGCTTTGTCTATATATTTTTCTTGGTATTTTGAAGTATATTTTCATGCCATTAACAGATTTAAACAATATTGCATTTTTTATTTATTCACATTCATATTAGTTGATTGCTTTGATTTATCAAGTAGGAACCGATACAATTAGAGATATTGCTTTTTAAATTATTATTTTTTTTAGTTCTAGTTTTACAGGATGAAGTATTAGGCTTCATAGTTCTTCTCAGAACTGTATTTCAAGTGCTTCTCTGATACTTTTATTGCACAGCACATTATAACCACTTTTTTCTCTCGTGTTAGTAAATCCATAAGAGTGGTTTTTCATTTAGCATTATGGGCAAGATCTGATTGAAAACCCCTGATTTATAGATGTTGTGCTGTATGTATTATTCTATCAGGATAAATTTCTCTTAGAGATAATATTTTCAGATTCCTTTCACCTAACAAATTTTCAATAGATTGAAATCTTATTAACAATGATTGAAAAAGGTTTGTACAGAGGCTTTAGTTGACACTTAGAAACTTTAATCCTATCATTTCTTATATAAACCACTTCACAAAATTAAAATTAATTCATACTGATTTTATTTCTAAAAATGTAATAATTTTCTAAATTTCTATATTTAGGACATTGTCTGAGCTGGTCATCATTACTGGTGATGATGAAATGGTAAGTTGCATAATGGCTTAAAAATTTCATAAGCATTTTCAAATCCTTAAAATACAATACTATTTATTTTATCATTAAATGTATTGATCTTTGTAAACATTTTGTAGACATGCTTAATATTTCATGAATCTTATGTAAGTAATGGCTGGCTGCTTGTATCCAAGTATACCTGTCTACTGGGGCAGATAGCCAATCCCTGTTCAGACACCTGCTCAGGTACATTTGTGTTTGTTCAACACCCATGGAACCCACCTCTGGTTTATATTGCAACATTGCTGAGCAGACTGTAGTTTCTGGGAGAGAGCACATAAAGTCTGAACAAGGCCAGTATGTTTAAACCCTCAATCACAATGACTTGTTACTTGGTGCTAGCACAACCATTGACATCTCTCAAATAGTTTTGACTATCCAATTTCATTCACAGGGCTTGGGTCAACCCATTGGTGTATTTCTCTTGTCTTTTCCAAAGGTGATGCATGCTGAGATTGCTTCTCTAAGCTAATAACATCAAGGAGTCACCTTCCTAACAAATTGATCATGGTTAGATTTGAATGGGTGGAAAGCAAATGTTCTAACAACTCTATCATCTGCCCATATGAATATTATTTATTGACATAGAATTTGCAATATTGTCTGATTATATTAATAGTGTATATCTATAGTTTCAACATTAGATTCAAGCCTACTGCTAAACCAATCATTTATCCTGTTCAATATTTATATAGTATCCTTCCTACTTTTCTACATTTGGTCATTTAGATGCAAAATTTTTTTTACTTGTATGTTTATAATTAGTGAACATTCAGAACATTCTGCTGCTGATGAATGGAATCAATACTTAATTGTATATCAATCATCATGTAAAACTTGTTGCACAGTTTGTTTTTTTTTTTTTTTTTTTTTTTTAAGCCACTTTTAAGAAACTGCCTATTTTTTGCTCATAATATTGTAATGTGTGTGTTTTTTTTTTTTTTTTTAGAAACAAGTCCAAAAAATGATCCCTCCTGTTATCGGGGTTGTAAACAAGATGCTTGCTCATAATCAGGTCTGAACTGTATAAATTGTCTTCCTAAATTTTTATACTTTATGATAATGATTCTTCTGCTATTTACCTCTTCATGACTTGCTTTTTTGTTAAAGTTTTAAGTTTGTTTGACATTAGGTAGCTTAATTACTTTCAATAAAAATCTGCAGAAAAATATTAAAGAAAAACTATCGGAATATTATTTAAATTCATTCTCAGTCTGTGATAACTGATTTTTAAGCCAAAGATAAAATTGCTGTCATGTAATAAAAAAAAAAAAAAAAAAACGTAATAAACAAAGATGGCAGAGTATGAAAATCTTAGTTGTGGTAACCCTGATTTTAATTTACCAGTTAATACATTTTTAAGAAGTTTAATGACTTGACATTTATTTGATTTTTACATAATTGGTTCTTAGAATCAAATGTGTCCCCTCTAATACCAATATTAATATAAAAAATAAAATCACTGATAAATATCAAACAAAATTAGTCATTGCTCAGTAAAAAAATTTTTTTTTTTTTTCATTGTATATTATAGATGTGTATTTGCTTTAGAAAAGCAGGAATATTATTTTGAAGAAAATAAAGAAACTTGGTTTGGAAAAGTTCAACTCCCAAGTTCTTACAAGTTTGTTTTTAACTTTTGTAATTGAAGATTTATTTAAACTTCAGGACTGGGCCTGTGAATGTATGGAATTGTTTGACAGCTTACTTGAATTTGAGGTGGCCATTGTTGTTCCCTATTTGAAAAACTTAATACAACTTTGTCTGGAAGTAAGTTTTTTTTTTTTTTTTTTTTTTTTATTCTCTCTCTCCCTTTATACACCACTGACCAAAAAAAATAAATAAAATTTCTTGTCTTTAAAGAAAGACATGAAACTATTTTTTTTCTATGTTTGCATTTTATTTTTTCTGTTATTTATTTTTATGATATTGCAATAATTTAAATCAAAATGAATATAAAATTATAATTTCAATTAAAGCAAATTTATATTTTCTTTTCATCAAAGAACCCATAAGCATTTATTACTGCAGTGAACCAGGTATTGCAATGTGAGTAAGGCAGAATATACAACCTATCAGAGTTGAAGTCGCTTAATAATGCATCCATCAAGAGAGTTGAGGACTTCAAATATCTTGGATCTCCCATAATAGATTCCCAAAAAGACTTCAACATTCACAAAGCTCTTGCATGGGATGCATGTAACACACTTCTCAAAATTTGGTGCTTGAATCTTCCATCCTCTTTAAAAGTCCCAACCTTTTGAACACTGATTGACCCAGTCCTACTGTATGGATCAGAAACTTGTCTCGAAAGAAAACTGGATGAAACGTACACAAATCTGCTTAGAAAAATCCAAAGCATCAGTTGGAGATCCATGCAATGCTTACCACTATTCTCAGAGAACTGAGGCCAATCTCTCTTTAGCTCAAACAAAAGCGATTCCAGTTTGCCAGCCACTGCTACTGAGCAGACAGGTTGTCTTATCCTTACTTCTTTGGCATCCTTCTGAAGGTATCTTCTTGTGAAAGTTGACTTTCCCAGACACCATAGTTTGGGACTCGGGGTTGGACATTGGGGATCTGGGGATGGCAATGCAAGACTGAGCAGTGTGGGAAAGGATTGTTAATGGAGTTCCAACCAACCACAGGGAGGTTGAAGGATGATGACTTCAGAACAAATTCTTGGCGTCCTTTCTAGTAAGTTGTAACAGTATGTTGATAGAAGTGATTTCCTGGTAATGTGTAAATGTGCAAACAATTCTTGCTTATTCTTTGGCAGTTTACTTCGAACTTTATGATGAATTTTGCCCCAGATTAGTTCAATTGGTGAAAGATCTGGAGATTGAGAGGGGCCCAAGTCATGATTCGCAAAATTTCCTTATCTTCCTTTGATTTTTGATAATTTGTACACAGTTTTGAGGTGTTTTGGATCATGATCTTGTTACAAATAATGTGGCAGCCAAAAGGAATTTCATACCCCTGCAGTATTCAATGATACTCTTCCTTTCACATAATGCCTTTAATTTAAACAGTCTTCAGCAATCTCACCTCTAAAACGTCCTCAAACCATTACAATACCACCACCATGGCTAACAGTTGCATGATTGTTCGGAAGAGGTTTGTCTGACAAACACTCTTCATTTACTTCCAAAGAGCTTCAATTTGAACTCCTTGGTCTATAGTATCTTTTTTACCAATTTTCTAAAGTCAAATCTTTGTGCTGTTGTGCCTTTTTTTTTTTTTTTTTTTTTTTTTTTATAGAGGTTTCTTAACTGATACACATCCTTTAAGCTCAAAAGAAATGTCTTAACAGTCATAACAGATATTGGATGTTGACATGTAGTATTAAATTCAGCAGTTAGTTGCAGAGCTGTTTTTCTTCTGTTCCTTTTGCTAGACACTATCAGGTGTCTATCCTCTGCAATAGATGTTACTTTAGGCCTCACAGATCTTTTTCTGTCAGCCTTTTGCGATGTTTTCTTCATGTTGCTGCAGGCAATGATACACACTATTTTTTGATATCTGTAATTTTCTAAGAATCTGACATTTGGAATACCCTTCTATAGAAAGAATTTCCACTTGGGCTCTTTCTTCAATACCAATCCATTCAGTTCTTGGCATTTTAATAGTTTCTGAAAATTAATTTCAATCACACATTAATCTTGGTAGAATTGAACTTCTACCAAGCAGTGAAGTTGAAATATTTGTAAATTTCTACTCTACAGTTCAGAAAAGGTATCAGGTTGTAACAAAATTTCCAAAGCTTATGCAAATAAATTTATAATGCGTGTAGAATGTTTTTGAATTTTATATAAGGGTTTGCATATATATATAATGTGTGTGTGTATATATATATATATATATATATATACACACACACACACAAACAAAAATAGGTGAATTTATTTATCCAAATATGCAAAATTAGCTTTTTATGAACTTAGAGAAACAATTTAGGGTGGTTACAAACTTTGATCAGTAGTATATGCATGTGGCTTTTTATGTTCATCTTATTGCTGGACAGCTTGTAATTTTATCGATTTCTTGTAGATTATGCCCAGGAAAGACCTGCAGAACATGGTACGGATAAAAGCAATGAGCACCATTAAGATCCTTATAACATTAAAGAAAAAGGTATTCTCTTTGTGATTCTATCACATGATCCTTTTAATTTAATTTGTATGAATAATTTACTTTTCTTTTATATTGTATATTTTAACAACAATGCCTTTTTATTAATATTTTTATACTAAATTATTGCTAAAATATACATGCAGTATTTTTGTTATAAGAATGTATGTGATAAATGTTTTCATCAGTGCCCTAAACATACATGTGCTTTTTTTTTTTAATCCTAGTTAATTCTATGTGTAAATACATGTATAATTTATAATTACTAATTCATGAATTTAATTTTTTTTTCTGCCCCATAAGGCCATTCTGAAGAATAATACTCAATCTGTAATCATGAATGTGATATTTGAAGAAATGTGTGCAGAGACTGATGATGAGTTTGATATAACAGAAGAGAATGATGAAGAAACTGACACTCCAGCCAGATATGCTGCTCAGGTAGAGCTTAAAAATTTTACTTTAATCTTTGGCTCATTATTTAAATTTACTTAATTTCTTTTTCTATTTTACATTAAAGTTTGGTATTATTTATGTTAATGTAATTTAAGTAATTGCAGGTGCATGAATTCACCTGCAGTAGTTAATCATTAAGATGAAAAAGAACATGTTATCTATCTAAACATGCATTCTTTCTAAGCATTTTCTTAAATGCTATGTCCCTTTGGAATGTAGCTAATTATGGCTTTCTACAGATTTCTTTATCTGGGAATTGCCATTATTTCTTGGGAAAGATAGTGGAGTGGTTTCATGTTACTTTATTCAGTTTGGAATCCAGTTTTCTTTTAGACTGGTTGCCACCTAATGCAAGATATCCCAGCCTTATTTACTTACACGATATTGTCTTATAACAATGTCTCATTGTGTTCTTCAGCCTTCATCAGGTGCTTGTTGATCTGAGTAACTTTCTGGGAATTTTGAACTTAACTTTTTAATTAATCTACAAGTGTAGATTATTCTTGTTCCACTGAACATATGAGGGATATCCTGTCTAATTTAATACTGTTCAGTTATTGCTTGCCCTGTGATATGTCCCAGAAAGGGATGTATTTGTTCGAAGTAGCAAAGTGGTTGTTGACTACCGTAATCGGGTAGGACAATCTAGCAGGTAACTGTAATGGACTGGTCCTCATCGTAGTGGTAGGCAACAGGCGAAGACAATAGGCGGCGTCCATAGGCGTAGTCCCTGTACCTCCACATCAGTCTGTATTTATGACTGACACCAGCCAATCATATTACTGTGAGAGGGAACCCAGGTGTATGCATATTCATTACATCACCCTGTTTACACTGAGTCCAAGTCTGCACTCCCTGAGCAGTACTAGATAAAAACTAGACAAGATATCCCTAGCTATTGTCAGTGGAATGAAAACATTCTACCTTTGTAGATTAGATTAAATAAAGGGGTATGTTCAAAGGTTACCCAGATCAACAAGAAGTTTAATATCCATGCAGATATTTTATAAAACTGAATCATATATTGCCTGCTTATCCAGCTTTTAGTTGCTAGCCCAAAATATCAAATTTTTAATTATTAAAAAAAGAAATCAGCTTAACACTATGCAAACATACTAAGCATTTTTATAAACATGTACCTATCTTTTGATATTTTTACAAGTAATTTAGTCTATTTAAATGATTAAACCTTGCATTTTTTTCCCCCCCACTTTAGGTTATTGATACTTTAGCTATGCATTTACCCCCAGACAAAGTAATTCCAAAATTGGTAAGTATTTTGTTTTCCCTAATTTTTTTCACCTTATATTTTGTTTCATACAATTTGTAATCAAGTTAAAAAGTGATGGTTTTTCATCTAATGAAACTTGGAGAAATATCTTTTATTACTTTCGATTCTTAAATTTTTAATTTCATTAGGAATCACAAAATTATAATTTATCATTATCAAAAATTTGGTACTGTTGTGTGCTGATAGGAATTGTTCTTATTCCAAGTGATATTATTACTGAAATTGTTCAATTTGTCAATATGTAGAATTTTTTTTTTAATTTCAGCTCTCTTTAGTTGAAGATGCTCTGAAAAGTCCTGATAAATTTCACAGAAGAGCAGCTTACATTGGATTGGCTATGGTTAGTGAAGGATGCAGTGACTACATTATTACTTAGTAAGTAACACTCAATATACACTATGGATTTTTCCTTATATGCAAAAAGGTTGTTTTAATAAGTTTTGTATCTTTAGTTCCCTTTAAATTTTGGGTTTAGACAATCATTAAATGCCCAAATGAATGAACAATATGTAAATTATAAACCAACACTGTTCAATTAGTTATGGTAAAAATCCTTAAATTTCATCAAGCTGAATAAAATATTATCTGTCTATATCTCTGAGATGACATATTTTGATTACTTGCATTATTTACATTATGTGGACTGTTTAACCTCATCTTCATTGCCATATTCACATTGTTTTGGCCATTGTGTGCTCTTGCCTTCTGATGATTGGAATTTCGAACACATGGCCCAGTGGATAGGCGTTGGTTAGATCCAGTGACTAGACCCAAAGAGTTGTGAGTTCAATACCAGGCCACAGCAGTGGTGAACCAAAACTTGGAGAGTTGAATTAAATGGGAATAATTGAGACATCCGGAAGAAGCATGGCACATGGAACTAGAACAATGTACCCTGGGGGACAAAATAAAGTGTTCCATTCAATGGCTGAAACACTGAATATGGCAATGAAAATGAGGATAATGGTCAGACTAATGTAAATAATTCAAGGAATAAAATAGTATTTTAAATATGTAGATATTTGTTTTTAACTCTTTATTTTATATTTATATGGCTAATCAGTTATTTTGAATCATTGTTTAATGGTTAATCATGGTTGTCTTTAGAAGTAGACACTATTTAAATATAACTTTAAAAAAAAATTATGTGTTACTGTCTTCCTCCACTGGCTCATTTAAAAAAAAAATATTTATTTTTAGTCTTGCAACTGATAGTTACTTTTTATCTTCACTTTTGGAAAATTTATAAACATTTAATACTATAATAAATTATAATGCAAATAACATTTGAAAAATTTTGGGATTCATTTTTAGTTGTTGAATTCTAAGTAAAGCTTTCTTTTTTCTGTTAAGGGAACTTTAAAAAAAAATTTGTTCTCCTGTTCAACAAGAATAGATTTATAAACTTTCATTTCAGCCATCTTGACCCTTTGGTTACATGTGTATGTCAAGGAATGGATGATGAAGATGCTTGTGTGAAAAATTCAGCATTCTTTGCTTTGGGTAGATTTGCTGAATTTCTCCAGGTAAAATTTAAGAAGCTCAGTTAATAAAAACAGTTAACAAATTTTTTCTTACAGATGTAATCAGTAAATTGTTTGCTTAATATCTACATATTTTTCTGGTATTTGTTGAATTGTAGGTTACAATATGGCAGTATTGTGTACAGTTTTCAAAAGGTTCTATTTTAGAAAAGGTTTCTTTAACAAACTAATTAATAAATTATATGGGGTTTTCATTTACATGAAGCATAATGCCCAAGAGGTTGCTTATACATTGTCACTGTTGTCATTGCTGAGCAGCCATTGCTCACATAATTTGTGTGCCTTCAATTTGGCCAGAGAATTTACCTCAGATTGGTTAAATTTGAATAGTTAACAAATTTGAAGCTTAAATTTTTTTTAAAAATATTACTAAATATGTACGATTGAAGAAATTTTGCTACAAATTGAATTAATTTTTTTTGTGTTGTTCCTTTCATATAAGTTAAAATCTAGTTTTATTCATTTTTATTTTTCTCATCAAGAATGAAATTGAGGTGAAATCAGCTGAGATACCACAAACAAATCTCGGCCCAACTATGAAGCCCTTCCAGTAAAAAAAAAAAAAAAAGTCTTGGTTGATTATTTGGTCAGATTATGGGAATTAGGTTGAGCCAAGAACTTCACAGTATACTCTTATAAAAAATTTTGTGGTTGTTGTGAAATTATTACTTTATTTTTGTTTTTCTTTTAGCCTGAAATAAGTAAAATGGCCCCAAACATTCTTCCTCTTTTGTTTAACAACCTGATAAAGTCTTTACAGAATAATCCAGACAATGTAAATGGAGTTTCTAAGACCTACTTTGCACTTGATAGAATTTGTGAGAATCTTGGTGAGTCACTGTCTTAATTTTTAATCCATTTTTAATAAGGGTCACATTTTCTACCACATTTTGACATTGTTAATTATTTTGTCTGTTTTTGTAAATTGGGAAAATTTACTGATGTAAATCTACAAAATTATAAAAATCCCTTTCAGTTGTCTAATTTCTATTTTGGTCAAGTTAAAATAAATTCCTCTTTACTATTTTATAGAAAGTAAGGCTGACTTTATTCTCATGAAGAGTTTTGAACATTTTAATTATTTGAACTTTGAAATTTTAATTTGAAAGGAATAATTTGATTATTCTGTTAAATTCTATACTGTGTTGAGATCTGTACTATAGTATTTAAAGTGTGTGCCTTTTTATTTTCCTTTGAAATTTCATAATGTCTTGTATTTTATTGCAATGCTCAAATCTTAAATGTTATTTTCTTATATATTGAAGGATACATTTATTATTGATAATTTTAGGTGAGGAAATTCTTCCATTCCTGCCAATGGTCATGGAACATTTATTGACTGTCCTGAAAACTACCAACAATCTAAAAACAAAAGAGATTGCTATTAGTGTCATCGGAGCTGCTGGTATATTTTAATTGATCATCTTTTGTCTCACTTTATTCTAACTTCTAACTTTATTATATGATTAGCACAACAAATGAAAAATGCCATCTGTGTCTGTAGCAGGGAGGGAGAACACATCACCCATCTGACTGATTCAAATGATAATGACATGGACTTGAATCCAGCTGCATGTGATTGTGGCAGGAAATTCAACAGCCTGTGAGGTTTACATGTCCATAAGGCAACCCAATTCCTTTATTTTAAAATGTAAGTCAAATGATAGGATTATGAATCCAGATTATGCCTACAGTGTTCACCCCTAGAGAAATTCCAAGCAACCCAAGAATCCAATGGCCCAAAGGCAATCGGTGTGCTACATGGTCGAATCTCGATCAGGAACTCTCATTAACACTTATCAACATCTAAAGTCCCTCATTAGCCTCAGATCTTTCTGCAGAGTTGTGAATAAGGTTTGGTGTTGCAACTACAAGAAAGTATAGGAAGGAAGAGAAGCGACCAAATAGATGACAGAATCAGAAAGGCATACTAAGAGCAAAGCAGAGAGTTGTGAAGTGCTGACCCAAAGAAGCTCCAATTCATGAGAAGGCAGGCCTTAAGGACCTGCTTAATGATATTAAAGAAAGGATCTTAGTTATCTCTTAAGTCGAATCAAAGAAGAAAAAGTGACACTCTAAGATCATTTTATGATAATCTTTATGCTTTTACTAAAAAGCTGTTCATCAAGACTAAGAGCAGCGAACTACATACTGCAGTAGGAACTCTAGAACTATATTGAGGATAACATATTCTGATGTTTGGAAAGATGTTCCAATCCTTCCTATGAATGACCTTCTTAGGCCCCAAGATACAGAGATCATGTTTTACAGCAGACTAAAGCTGAGGGAAATTAAGGAATTTGTTTATAAATCTCATGCTGGTAGTGCACCTGGAATAAATGGAATATCCTACAAGTTATATAAGAATTGTCCAAACATCCTCAAGCAACTTACCATCCACTTCCAGCAAGCATAGAAACAAAGCATTGTACCATAAGAATGGTGCCTGGCGGATGACATGTGGATGTTAGACATTTCCATGACGGTCGTCCTTGAGTATTGAATCTAGAGGTTAGCAGTGAATATTTCGGAGACAGTAGGAAAGCGTACTTTAGGTTCGCAGTGGATATCACAGCAGAGTGTAGTTCATCCTTCTCCTGGTTGCCTTTGGTCCTTCCGGTAGACGAAACAAGATGGCCGCCTTTATACACGACGAATACAGTGTTGGGCGGCTTCTGATTGGTCAACCTTCCATTGGTCGATTATAAAGGGAAATAAGTCATTCTGACTCGCTCACTAGTCATGTGCATTATATACCCAAAAAACCGTAACAGCCCCCCCTATTTTGGGTATATAATGGAATCTTCGTTCAAAATATTAGTAAAGTTAATAAATACTTTAATTCCAAAAATAATATTTTTTTATTTTAAAGGGTAATATTAATATGTAACAAATATTTTAGTATTCTAAATTTTATTTTTATGTTTTTTCTTTATATTTTCTTGAAAATTAATATTCACAAAAATTAGTCATATCACTTTGTTCACAGTTAAATACTTCGGGTTAATAGAACATGAACAACAATACTATAAGTTTAGATTGCGATCACAGCAAAAAGTGGAAAGAATTGTTACTTTACCCATAGTTTGGACCCATTAAAACAGTTATTCTCACTCCGGGTCAGAGTGATCCAGAAAAATCATTTATTATTTTATCCATAGCTGGGACCCATTAAAACAGTTATTATCACTCCGGGTCAGAGTGATCCAGGGAATCATTTAGAAGAGGATTGGGCTCAAGGTAGGACCATTTACCTTTATACCCCGAAACTAAGGACTTATGTTCATACCAAAAACTGAACTGACGCTTCTTAGGACAGTAACTAACGGATGCAGTTTTATCGTCCCTGCCCAGGACCTAATAAGGACCTTACAGGGACTTAACGGATGCAGTTTTACGTCCTACCCAGGACCTAAAATACAGGGGCCTTAGTGGATGCAGTTTTACGTCTTGCCCAGGACCTAATAAGGACCTTAATGGATGCAGTTTTACGTCTTGCCCAGGACCATTATAAGGGTCTAAGAAGTCGGCACCAAACATTGCAGAAGCAAAAAGCCTGTAGTTTCCATTTCATAATCGTTTTTTTTTTTACAAATAAATCCGCCATATTATCTCCCGATTAAACATATTCAATTTGTACTGTTTTCTTCTATAGTTGGTCCCTTAACAAACTGATATTTCATATTGGTATGCTTTGATCTTTAATGTTGAATTTCTAGACAAAGCAATACTGCTCTGATCGCCGAGTAAATAATAATTGGCTCAGTTATTGCCAGTATTATAATTGTTTTTCATTAGCAATTTAAGAAAAATAACCTCTTGTGTTCTTTTTCACAATGCAATACATCCAGCTTCACAAGTTAAAAGTGAAATCTTTCGCTGTTTCTTAATTCCTGCTGATTATTGGGTTACCATCCGCTAGCTTAAAGCAATAGCCTGTTATATTCTTATGGTCTGGTGAATTAGCCCAATTAGCATCACAAAATTCTTCCAATTTTTAATAATTTATTGGATTGTCAAAAATACTAGGCATCGACTATTAGTCCACTTCAGATAACGTAATACTTGCTTCAAAAAATTGTTAAAATGTACAGTCCACGGTTTACTTAAGTTTTGGGATAACTTAGTAATCGAATAGCAGATAATTTTGCCTAGTTCATATCATCATGCAAATAATACTTCCGACCAATATTCTGTATTCATTTTCACACTCCGCTATACCATCTTCTTATTCCTAATTGTGCTTCAATCCATTTCACATGGAGTAGTTCTTTGTTTTGCCATTTTGCATGTTAAATTTCGATAAAAGCCTTTCCAAGTATCTCGATTAATTCATTGAAATCGTGTTGCCTTTAAATTTGTACTGTATACCAAGAAAAAACATGATAGTTCGATTCCAAATTGGTCATTTTAAAACTCATTTCTAGAGAACTCTTGATTTTTAATAGCGCCCTCATTCAAGGATACAATTAATATATTTTCGACCCAAATAACTAGAATTACTGATATTTCATTAAATGTCTGTGTACAGACATGGGTCAACTTGAGGAGATTGAAATTATTGTCTCATTAAATAACAACAAATTAAATTATTCCATGTTTTTTCCACTCATTTTGAGTCCATATCATGACTTTTTAAGTTTTTTTTCTTAAAGTTTCCATACATAATCATCACTTATTTTTGCTTTTTTTTTTTTTTTTTTAAACCTTCTGGGTTTTAAACCTTATACATTTCATTGTCGATGGTTCATTCTGAAATAAGTATTTTTTTTTTTTTTTTTTTTTTTTTTTTTTTAACATCCATACAATGTAGATCTTTACCACAATGGGCATCTATTTGGATCAAAACCCTAATTAAGACTTAATGTCACTACATAAGTCATCCGCCCCATATATCTATAAAAATAAATCCGTTAGCTACAAAAACGAACATCGCATACTGGCGATCTATTCTTAGTTCGCTTTACAATGCAAACCCAACGGCTGCCAATGATATTTCTATCATCAATTAATTAAGACTTAAGATTTCTACATAAGTCGTCCCCCCCCCCCTTATATCTATGTAAATCCGTTAACTATAAAACGAACCTTGTAGACTGACGATCTATCCTCAGTTCGCTCATAGTACGGCTGCCGATGATCATCATCATCATCATCCGGGGCGTTTTGATTCAAAAAGTGTCCCACTACTAAAGATTAAATTTCTTTATTTTTGGCTTAAATTTCTTCCTTCTTTTCTTTTTGAAGGCTTACATTTCTTCATTCTTTTTCTTTTTGAAGGCATGGCCGCTTTGATCTTAACAAAAATGTATGGCTTCTTGGTAGTTCCTTGAGATACATTTGTACTGTATAACAACAGTTAATATTACATTAATTCATTTCACAATAGTCTGGCTTTTCTCCATTTTGGTCGAAATTGCACCTGATTTTCTTCTTCTCGTATACCCCATCTGGTATAGTACCTTCCTCTGCTTGTGGACTCTGAACGGGTTTTCTAACCATAATTAGACCATACTTAATTCGGGTTGACTAGTTCCTCGAATTAATATATTTTTTTTTTTTTTTTTTTTTTTTTTTTTTTTTTTTTTTTTAGGTTCCTCCCCTCGCTCAAAGGAATTTATCTATCTGACGCATCTGATCTTCCTCATCGTTTTTTTTTTTTTTTTTTTTTTTTAAATCATATAGTCTGGACTTGGCTTATTCTACCCATAAATATGTCCCTTTAATTTTGGGATCTCATTCCGCTCTGTGGTCAACATATATACAGCAAATTATATAAAAATATGCATATCATTCACATTGGGCTCTAATTGAGTTTTTAGTTTCTTTCTCAATGCATAAAACCACAGCTTCTTGGGTAATTCAAATTCTATTAACAATCATCTAGCCATTTTAAAAGTGTCCTCCAACTGCGTTCAGCGACTCCGTTCTTATGCGGAGAATAAGAACAGGTTTTCTCACGTTTTAATGCCTTCATTTATTTAATTTATTAGGAGGTTTTTGTAAGCATCAGAAGTAAATTGTCCACCATTATCTGTTTGAATTATTTTTAATTTTCCATGCGGGGAGTTCTCGGATAAATAGATTTTAGATTGATTGCAAATTATCAAATTTACTTTCAGAAAGTAAATCATAAGCCCTGAGTATTCGGCAACAAAGTTTGTCATTTTTATTTAATATACATGTCCTAATATTTTAAATCATTTGGAAGTGTATTTTTTTTTTTTTATTCCAGTGACATGTTCTTGCAATCTCTTAACATCAGAATTCTTACAGTGGCCTAATATCTTATGCCAAGTTCTTAAGTCATGCGTGGCCATCTTAGCAGACTTAACACTTTTCAAATAATACTAACGTCCATATTGCTGTGTATCAAATCCAGTTCTGTCTGGATATCTAGAATTTAAAATATATAAAGCCTTTTTTCCTTCTTTTTTTTTTTTTAAATAAACATTCTATATATTTCCTCTAGTATTTCGCAGATAAGTACAGGCACTACCTCTCTTTGAAGCTAAATTATTAGCTCTGGTGCCGTCCAGTAACTCGATAAAATGTCAGTCGAGCTCAAAATTCGGGTCAAAATTAATAAATTTTGTTACAACTATAATTACACGATTTGTCGCATTTTAATTGACGAATCACAAGTACTGGCCACAGTACTCAATCCAAACAAAAAAAAAAGGCATATGCACGTCCATTCGAAAAAGTTTGCTTTCTTTTGTTTACAAAAGTCATTCCGTGTATAAATTGACATTTCCGCACGGACATGGCCGACATTATTACCACAACGAAAACAACATTTTTTTTTTTTTTTTTTTTTTTGCCTCGATTTTGGGGGGTACATATTTATCATATTGCTTCATAATTACGTAACGCAATTTTAAACTCAGTTAAAGTTACTTATTTATCTTTTTGAGTTATAACTGACGTGAATGGTTTGGATGAAGGTGGCAAACCCTTCAAGACCATGGCTATTCGTAGCCCATCCGAGATAGTCCTCACCTGCAATTTTAAAGCATTTGTGACATTCTCTGCTAGAATAATTGGTTACTGATTCGCGGTTAATTCAAGTATATGAAGCAATAATTTTAGGCTTACCTTTTAACAAATAGTATTCGTTTAAATTTGTGTAGGGCTCGCTTCCATTGTCCTTGGCCTCCCTCTTATTAAAGACAAACTCCAGTCATCCAGGAATTGAATTAACTCATGAAAAACGGTCGCATTCTTCATAAAAATCATCATGCCCCCCCTCCTGGTCGACTTGCAAAAAGATGATGTCATGGAGTTTTCATATTCTTAGGTAGCCTAAAAAACTTTGTCTCCCATAATTCATATCCAGATTCATTCCCGCCAAAATAAATCGTGATCTGGGCTCATAACCTATGTTAGACATTTCCATGACGGTCGCCCTTGAGTATTGAATCTAGAGGTTAGCAGTGAATATTTCGAGACAGTAGGAAAGCGTGCTTTTAGGTTCGCAGGGATATCACAGCAGAGTGTAGTTCATCCTTCTCCTGGTCGCCTTTGGTCCTTCCGGTAGATTTAAACAAGATGGCCGCCTTTTATACACGACGAATACAGTGTTAAGGCGGCTTCTGATTGGTCAACCTTCCATTGGTCGATTATAAAGGGAAATAAGTCATTCTGACTCGCTCACTAGTCATGTGCATTATATACCCAAAAAACCGTAACAGTGGATACCTAAAGAAAAAGAATGCAAAAGGCATTGCAAATTTCTGCCTCGTCTCTCTCTTGAATGTAGAGGGGAAAATATTTTTGGGGGCCCTTGTCCATTGTATGACTGTAAAGGGAGTAATGACTAAGGAACAAATGGTCCTTCCTCCTTCCAAAGCATTCATTGATGACATCACTATTCTGGTCCTGTATAAGGTTGGTGCTCATGTACTGATTCAGCACTGCCATAATCTCTTCTCATGGGTGAGAATGAAGGTTAAGCCCAGAAAAAGCCAGAGCTTATTATTCAGAGTTTTTGTCGGAGATTCACTTCTGTATGGTTTGGGGGACTTGGTCCTGACAGTCAAAGAGAAGCCAGTGAAGAGCTTTGGAGGACTGCATGAAATTCCACTGACTAATTGTTACTGTGGTAAAAAGGTGTGGGAAGTAGTACTAAATGGACTTTAATCCATCAACAGAACCCATCTCCCCGGCAAAATGAAGGCTTGGTGCTACCAACTTGGTTTGCTGCCTTGGCTTCTGTGGCTGTTGCAGGTGTATGATATTACTCTCTCGCATTCAGCAGATGCAACTGTATCACCAAGTACCTGCGTAAGTGGCTTTGAGTCAGATCCAATTTCCACTCCACCCCGCTTCTCCACAGTGGCACTTTATACCAATGCCAGAAACCTGCAGCTCCCTATCTCCTCATTGGTGGAGGAGTTCAAGGTCTCAGTTGATGAGTTCATCCACAGCTCAACAATTGGATCCAGATATCAAAACTGGCACCAGATGGTCAGCAGTAGAAGCTGCCCAAGAAGCAGAATCCAGCCTGTGAACCAAGAAGATTATGGGGATGACCTAAACCAATCGAGCTGACCTGGGAAGCACAAATAAGTAGTTTTTCGCCAAACAAGGTCCAAAGGGAAAACAAGATCTGGTGATTGAAGAAATCAGGAATTTCAAGGGAGAGTAGTGAACAGCTACTGTTGTTTCTCAGTTCAAACAATGTCTTTGGACTACATGGAGTGATATTGATCTAATGAAACTATCCTGAAATACCCTGATTGCAATGGCGCCATTGGCAATATCATTCCTCTTGTAATCTGCCTATGATCTCATAACAAATATGACCAATATGTTGAGAATTGACAACAAAAATAAAGCACTATTTATCAAATTGTTTATTTACACTGATATTGTTTATTGGAATGGTTGGCAAAACCTTGGCTCATTGCCAATGAATTTGAATTTTATATAGTGGTAAATAATGATTTCCTTATAGTTCATATATTTTAATAATTTAGTGAGTGTTTAAAATTTTATGAATAAAATTGTATTTATAAGTTGGTAAATGATAAATATTGCATAGTTTTGATTGTATTAGTTTTTAGAATGTTGTAAATTTAAAATTATTCTAGTACATAAAATGTGTTTTAATTTTTTTTTTTTTTTTTTTTTTTTAAGCATTTCTTAGAAAATGCTTATCCAATTATGACTGAATGCTTATTTTGTCAGAATATCAATTCTATATAAACATCTACATTGCCAATGTATATCTACTTTGGTCTGTTTTTCTGATCATTTTGAAAATTAAACTTTTTTTGAAGTGAATTTTTTTTAATTATTTGTAGCTAGTGCTGCCGGCCAAGGGATGCAACCCTATTTTCAGAGAATTATCAATGACTTAAATGAGATTTTAAAAGTAAATGAAGAAGACTTCCTTACAGTTCATGTTCAGGCAATTGGTATGTATGTATGTATGTATGTATGTATATGTGTGTGTGTATATATATATATATATATATATATATATATATATATATGTGTGTTACTAGTTGTTCTTTGTAAATAATTCTTCTATTTTCTCTTCTATTTATCTGGTTGGTAGTGAAATAGAAATGCTGCCTACATAAATTTTAGTTGAAATGATCGACAACAAGTAACTTAATTCTGTTTATATCTTCCTAGTCTCATCAGAAGTCAAAAGATCTATGAAGGAACAGCTAAATGTCAATTCCTATAAATTTTTTTTTTTTTTTAAAGTCCTATTCATTAAATTTACTTTTAAATATGCTGACATTTTGATTAAAAATACTGTACACAATTATTCTTTATATAGCATGATGTCCCCTCCCTCCCCCCATCTATTTTCCTAATTTATTTTCTGCAGAAACTGTTATAAGTGATCATCAACCCGATTGGCTTGTACTGGAAGATTATTGATTGAAATAACTTACAGCCTATGAATAACAAACACTGAATTATGTTTTATATATTTGCAACTATTTAACAAATCTATGTATCTCTTTTCTCTCAAACAGACACTCTAGCAGTGTTGGCTAGAAACATTGATAGTTCAGAATTTTTTCCAATCTCTGATAATGTCATGCAAATGGGGATCCATTTAATTGATCAGAAAGATGATCCAGATTTACGTAGATGTGTGTAAGTATATTTAGCTCAAAAATTTACAAAAAAAAATAGCTTTGTACATTTATTTTTTTATTTTTTTATTTTTTTTTTCTAAGACCTCATACTAACAAAAAGTTTTTAGGTAATAGCTAAATATAGGTTGTTCACTGTGTAGTTGTCTGTGTTTCGGTAATGTCCAAATACCAGTTTGTCCATGTGGTTCAGTAATGTCCAAATATTGGCTGTCCATAAGCATCAATCACTAAAGCTTTCAACAAGCAATCAATTTTAATTTGGAAACTAATTATTCTATATGAGAATTTTTTACATTTGTTAAAATACCATATTTTGTTAAAATTAAATTTTCTTTTTGTGTTATTTTGCACTTTTGTTATAACTACTGTTAGGTCTTTCAAAACTATCTTTTCATAAGATGATCTAGTTTCATTGTAATTGATTAATGGAGAAAAGCTGTATTGTCTCTTAGGTTGCTTTAGTTGATAGCACAAAAGGTAACTAAAAATCTTTTTTTCAGTTAATGTAAGGATAACTGGTATATTTTGTCTGCCTTAATGTGGTTTAGGTGATAATTTGTAGAAGCATATAGATGAAAAATAAACTGAGGAAAACTTAGTCATAGTAGTTGTATTACTCACATTTTGAAATTTAAGTTACACACAAGTATTTTTTCTCTCTAGATATGGTCTGTTTGGCTCAATGTCTGTTATACTAAAAGG